GTTGAGTACTGCACTGCACTGACATCTTGCACCACCGCAAAGGGCCGCTGCCGTTCGTGCGGTTGCCCTGAGGCGCGCCCTGACCTCCGCTGCGAATTTCAGCAGGAGCATTGTCTGGCAGAAACGGGTACAGAAACAGTATAGTGAGCGGTATTGCTCAGTGCTGATAGAATGTAGCGTTTGATGAGGTGATGATAACGATATTTCGCCGGCTAATCGGTCCGCCACCGCCTACAGGAAGAAGCTCGTTTGACGATGCTGCGGGAGTGTTGTATCTTTGTTCCGGCTGAACTGGGCTAATCTCGACACGGCTGCCGTTGTCACGCGTCTTCTGGAACTTCATGTGGAAGATTTTGATTGATTACTGAGGGGCGTATCGCTTGTAGGTGATCTGGCCTGTTTGTCTACCTCCAGCGTTTTGCACATGTCTACGGAATTGGGGTTTTGGAGGTGCCACACGGGAGGACCTGCGGTACCTATCTGCCTCCAACGAAAAGTCTGTCAGCATCAATCTAACGTCGGCCTTTTCTCCGTTTCGCTGGACGTCCTGTTACCAACAAGCCCAGATTCGATAAGCATCATGTCAATGCATTGGCGAGTGTTCTCAACGAATACCAACATCGGAAGTCCTCTTGCGCTCGACCGAGATTGCAGGTAACGGTTGAGACGCATGTACATCTATCCGAAGCAGCAGTGGACTGATTTACCTGCATCAGTGCTGCTTCTGCATGACGTAGAGACAACATGAGGGAGATCGCAAGACTGTAGCATGTGCTGCGGACGTGGAACTAATCGTGTGCACATGATCAATGTGTACTCTACTGTCTGCTATCCAATGGAAAAAAAGGTCCCAGTGACCAAACGCCATATATGCAAGTCAAAATCTATGCGCCTTCCACCTATCCCCCTAAACAAGAAAGAAAGAGAATATCCCCAAACAACACTCTCCAAGTACCCCATTACCTCTTCTCCACAAGCAGCAAATGCATAGCCGCATATGCCAGCACCACAAACGCGCCCGCAAACACACCCAGCCCAATACAATCCTTCCACAGCGCCTGCGTGTTGAAACCAAACGAGCTGAGGATAGCGGAGCCAGGGACTTCAATGTCGAGGCCGTATTTGTGGTCGATGAGGGAGAGGTATTTGACTTCGTTGACGATGAGGCCTTCGAAGGCGTAGTGGAAGATTGATAGCTGGGAAGCATATGTTAGCAAAGATGGACTTGTGCGTGGAAGGGCGAGTTGGGACTTACCGATTGCAGCCACTTGGCTATAGCAGGAATACTCTCCTTGTTGAGGAAGAAGCCAGAGAAGAGGAGACTGAATAGCATGACTAGCACGCCAATCAGGTTGGCTACGCCAGAGTTGCGGAATACGATGCCGATGAAGAGGAAGATGGCTGCGGCTGCGAGATTGAACAGGACGAGGAAAAGGGTAAACTTGAGGAAGTTGGGCCAGGCAGGGATAAGACCGGTCATGGGGTACACGATGATACCGAGGATGATGGGTGGAAGCAGGCGCAGAGGAATGATGTCGAAGATGACCTTGGCAGCGAAGTAGGCAGGTGGAGAGTAGTAGCCCTTGGCACGCTCGCGGGTGAAGAGCAGTCTTTCGGGGGCGAAGACGGTGAGGATGGTCAAGCTGCTGAAGCCGAAGAGCGACAGAACGAACAGGAAAAGACCGAGGCGGTTCTGGAAACCCTTGATGTCGTCTGTGAGACCATAGAAAAGGAAGCCGAGGAAGACGGCGAGGACAATAGCAATGGCGTAGTGGGTAAGCATGAGCATAGGGTTGCGGTAAAGGTTGCGCCAGGTTCGTCGGGACAAGATTCTGAACTGGCCAAAGAGACCAACCTTCCTGAAGCCCTTGAGCTTTCCTGCGGCAACGAAACCATTTGGTTGTTGCACTCCGTTGGTGCCGTTGGCTTGATTTGCGCTGGCTACCGAGCTAGCAATGTCGTCGCGGATCCTAGCTGCAATGTCGGAAGAGGCGTAAGCGTTGATAAGAAGGTCCAAGTTTGTGCCGGTTGCGCCGTTGGCAGGAGGTGGGAGCTCATCTGGGTCTTCGAGTATCTGAGGAGGCACGCCACCTTGCTGACGAGTGAGCTTCATCCATTGGGCCTTGATAGCGCCTCGACGATCGTAGGGAGCTTCGTCATCAGTCTTTGGGGACATTGCACCGTCGTTAACAGAAGCAGTGTTCTTCTTCCTCGTGAATAGCTCGCGTTCTTGCTGCTGCTTGATAGACGTCCTCCTCTTGCTCTTGGGTCGCAGTATGCTAGAATTGCTGGGACTACCAGCAATGTCTCGTTCAAGCTCTGATGTGTTGATGCTAGGAATGGACTTGACAGCAATTGCACTGCTTGCGCTTGTAGTGAGTCCGTCGCGGTTGAGATCACGGTTGAAGAGTGAACTGTCTTCGTCGATGGGCTTTCGTGCTGTGCTTGCGTGCATTGTAAGATCCACGATGTAATCGGCAATGTTGAAACCAGGTGGGCAAGTGTAGCCAAGCTCATCGAAGTAGTTTTGGCAGTTCTCGAATGGTCCAGAGTAGACAGCTCTGCCCTTCGCAAGCAGTATGAGTTGGTCGAAGAGAGCGACAATGTTGGAGCGTGGCTGGTGAATGGTGAAGACGACAGTTCGGTTGTAGTTCTTGACCAGGTTGACAAGGCACTCGACGACGTTGAAAGCATTGTAGGCGTCCAGGCCACTTGTGGGCTCGTCCAAGAAGAGGATGCTGGGCGAGGTAACAAGTTCGCAGGCAATACCGACACGACGCTTCTCACCACCGGAAATTCCACGACCGCTTTCCTCAGAGCCAATCTTCTGGTTGCGAATGTGGTAGATACCGAGTTGACGTTCAACGTCTTCTACCTTTTGCTCCTTGGAAATGCGACTCATCTCCTTGGGCAGGCGCAACAATGCAGAGTCGAGAATCGTCTCGTGAACAGTCAAGGTAGGCAAAAGGGTGTCTTCCTGGTCGACGAAACCAATCACGCTTCTGAACTCGTCATCGCGGACCTTCTCGCCATTGATATAGAAATCGCCACTATCGGTTCCAATCTTCTTCTTGCGGGCCAGAATATCAAGGAAGGTAGTCTTTCCAGCACCCGAGGCACCCATGATGGCCAAGAGCTCTCCGGGGTGGACAGCGCCAGAGATGCCAGACAGAATCTGCTTTCCTTTCAGGTTGTAGGCGACGTTCTCGAAGAGGAAGGAAGCTGGCTTGTGGTCGGCGAGCAATTTCGCATCCTCGTCCTCCTCATCGTCCGACAGGTGGATAGGACCGTATCGATGGCTCTCCGCGCGGTGGGTAATGTACCAGATGGCCAAGATAGCCGCCACGATGAATAGTGCGATTCCTGCAATGACGCCAGCGATCAACGGAGTGTTGATCTTCTTGATGGGTCTCTCGTACCCTGGCACTTCCGTCTGGTATAGACACTCGCCCGTGTCGCATTGTAGGAAAATGCTTTCGTCGCCGAAGATGCTCGAGATCAGGTCGTTCATGGCAGGCTCTGAGAAGATGCTTCCGCTGTCTTTGCTGTTGATAGCTGAGATGCCTCTGAATTCAGCAGGACCCTTGATGGACTCCTTCAAGAAGTCGCCAATGTCGACGGAGCCATCCTCTCCGCAGAGCATCCTGTCAGGGACACATTCGCACTTGATGTTCTCGCATCGGTATTTCGTGATGTTGCGGTCGGATTCGGCGGTGAAGTGGGAGGAGCACGTGTCGAGGGCGCAGTAGAAGGATTCCTTTTGGTCGACCCAGACTGCGATGGTTAGCTGGGAATGAAAGGTGGAGGGTATGAAGCTTACATTGGAAGTTGCATTCCTCTGACTCGGCATTGCAAGAGAAGGTCGCCTGCGGTTTCTTGTCCTTCAACGTGTCCAGGATCTTTCTGTTGGTAATGTCGCAGATCTGGAAGTTCTCCTTGACCAGCTGGCCGTCCTTGTAGCAGACGCCGCCCTCTCCATCCGGCATCATGGCGTTGCAGGCATCGTTGGTCTGGCAGACGTTGCAGTTGATGCCAGACCAGCCCTCTGAGCATTCGCACTCCTTTGCGCCTCCGCGTGGTGAGCGGTTCTTGCCATCGGGCAGGGCGCCGCAGAGGGGCTCTGAGCAGTCCTCGCCTCCAAATCCGGGTCCACAGTTACATCTCCCGTTTGCTTTGCTGCAGTCGGCAAACTGCTTGCACTTGAAGTCTTCCAGGTTGCAGTTGAAGCATGGCGGACAGCCATCGGGTCGGTCGCCGTAGATGGAGAAGAGATCCTGTGGCGAATCGGCGAGGGTGTAGTTGGCGAACGTCTTGTGGGCTGTCGCCGTCGATGCCAGGCCCAGCAAGGCGGCGAGCGACGTTGCCCAGGTCCGTTGGCGCATCGCGTCTTGTTTGCGGCGCGGGACGAGCTGTGCGATAGCTATCTAGATGGTCGTGTGCCCGCTTCTTTCGGAAGTAACGTGACGAGACGGAAAGTGACTGTCAAAGTCAAAGGAACGGCAAGAGCTGGGCAGCTCGCGATGGGGACGAGGGACAACAGGTAGCAACGGGTGGCCAGATGATGGCAGTGCTGCTATCATCGGCCTGCGGAGACGCTGATTCGTGGAGGCTGGGCTGTCTCCAGCCAAGCACCATGGCGGACCGCTAGACCGAGGCACACGCCAACAGGTGATGCAGGCAACATGGTCTTCGTCATCATCGATATCTCGCACAGCATGCAGAAGAGCATTCACGAATATCCATCACGCGACTAGCAGCCTCCTCTGGCAACGCGCTGATCAGCGTGATCGCGCGACATCAGCGCCGACGCGCTCTTGCCAGCCCAACCTAGCCGTCGGAGCGCTCTAGCAACTAGCTCGCCCGCTTCAGCGGAACCTCGAGAGGCTATCATGTGCGCCCTATGTCAATCCCCAGAGCCCTGAGACATCCAAACTATTTCAACTAATTTTTCTTTGCGGTTTTCCACCCGTCACAAAACATCCTCTGCATTGCAAGTCACAATGGTCAAAATCGAAGAATTCGCCGTCGAGTCCGTATGTCATTCCCCGCATCTCGCACTCCACGTGGGGAGATGACTAACATGCCCAGTGGATGGATGCGTATGAGACGAAATGCAAGTACAACATCGCCGAGACGTGTTGCGCCTCGATTTCCGTCGATCAGCTACGCGAGCTGTCAGAGAACAAAGATCAGCCTGTTTTCGACACCTCGCGTGTCCTGAACTACGGGGCCATCAGAGGAAGTGACGACCTACGCAACAACCTTGCACGACTATATTCTGCCAAGGTCACAAACCCCCTCTCTCCAGACAACATCCTCATCACTCCTGGCGCCATCCAAGCAAACTACCTGACTGCATACGCCCTCGTTGGACCGGGAGACCATGTCATCTGCCACTACCCCACCTACCAGTCCCTCTATGAGGTACCCAAGCAACTGGGTGCTGAAGTCGACCTATGGAAAGCAACCCCAGAGAACAAATGGGTGCCAACCATCGACGACTTGAAGACGCTCATCAAGCCCAACACCAAGCTCATCATCATCAACAACCCCAACAACCCCACTGGAGCCATCCTAGGCAAGACCTTCCTCCAAGAGCTCATCGATATCGCGACCGAAAAGGACATCACCATTATGAGTGACGAAGTCTACCGCCCATTATTCCACTCCATCATCCCCATAGACAAAGAATTCCCACCCTCCCTCCTATCCATGGGCTACAAGAACGTCATCGTCACAGGTTCCATGTCAAAAGCTTATTCCCTCGCCGGCATTCGCATCGGCTGGATAGCATCTCGCAGCTCTGAAATCATCGAGAAGATCGCTTCAGCACGGCACTACACCACAATCTCCGTGTCCTACTTCGACGAAGCCATCGCCGCCTACGCTCTCCACTCATCAACAGTGCACAGTCTACTAGCTCGCAACATCCAACTCGCGAGAACCAACCTGGCTCTTCTGGAGAAGTTCCAACTCAAGAACGAAGATGAGTGCGAGTGGGTGAAGCCTGTGGCTGGTACTACGGCTTTCGTCAAGTTCCACCGAGAAGGCAAGGCAGTGGACTCTGTGGACTTTTGCAAAAAGTTGCTCGAGGCTACGGGCGTTATGTTTGTGCCTGGTAGTACTTGTTTCGGCGAGGAGTTCAAGGGATACGTCAGAATCGGGTTTGTTAATCAGACGGATATTATTAAGGACGGATTGGATGCCGTGACGAAGTTCATACGGAAGAATCTTGATGAGGTGGAGTTGGCAGAGTAAAGTAGTGTATGGCCAGTAGGAAATGTTTACATCAAGGTACATACAGTTTGCACATCGCAAGTCGGTCCGAAACAGCCACAGCCACAGCGCCACACTAGCCGCAACATTGAGGGCGGCTAGTGGTCTCAGCCTTGTGGACGCCTTACATACGCCCGTCTCACAGGCAGTGAGATTTCACAGCCACGACCAGTGATCAACAACTTATACCCTACCGATACTATATGGATAGTAAGCGCTGTGATACAATAAAACCTGCTCTCCTCTCATCCCACCATATACCCTCCCCACTGTCCCCATCACTCCATCTCCGCATTTCTTCCCCCTAAATTACATACGGTATCATCGCTACAATGACAGACCCATCCAAACTCCAAGTCCCAGAACCGTCCACCGAGAAGGATAACAGTAATTCCACAGCCCCTCTCGTAAACGTAACAAGCGCATCCACAATCTCCACCTCAACATCCACATCCACATCCAGCTCAAAACCCCCAACATCAACACCAGAACGTCCTTCCTCTTCACATTCCTGGCGTTCAAAACTGCATATCCATTCCGGTTCGCGCCGTTCCAAATCCGTTGAACCAGGGAAGGAACGCTGGCGGGATGCGACGCTGCCTGAGAAGGAGCGATGGAAGGACTGGCAGAAGGCTAAGGATAAGGAGCAGTTGCAGGGGTATGTGATTACGACTGGTAGACTTGGTGGCATCTGCTAACATGGGGGATGATAGGTCGGCAGTAGGTGCGTTTACGCAGTTTTATAAGGGGAAGGGGAGTACGGGGTATTGGTTGGATGTGGGGTTTTAAGAGGATGAGCACTACGATAAGAGTGCGAGGAGGAACGGGAAGGCAATAAGATTCCGTTTGGTATCACAAGCTACGACTTGGAGCGACGACCTATGTAAGAGTTACGTGTGAGATAGCCGTGAAAAGAGAAAAGTGCTGTAACCAAGGGTTTTCATGATCCATTAGTTGACCTGAACTCTATTATAACCTTGGAATATTGCGCGGAACTTTCAATCCCCTTCTACGATACTCTCTTTCTCCCTATGTACGCTGCTGAGGAATAACGGGGACGATGACGAGGGGTACCACAATAGGCGGCAATAAAACTGGCGTAAAGTTTGAAAAAGAATGTTGGGGTGTGTTGGTGCCGAAAAGCGCGTCCATGTCGAGAGTGTTGGCATTGAAACTCGATGCTCGTTTCATACGACCGCGACGTGGTTTAGGATATTGACCGTCGCTATGATACCCGAAATCTTGATCGAAGTGTGTGTTGAATCGTTGAGTACTGGTACCGTCACGTTGTGGCTTGCGACTGGGGAAGACCAATTTGTCCAGCTCTTTCTGATCAGAAATCCAGTCAGAAACCTTGTTCTCTTCTCGCTTCTTCTTAGTGTTCGATTTGGAAGGGGGTGCAGATCTATGCCTAGCCTTTGAGGAACTGGGAGCTGTTGTACGTCCGGGCTTAGCTTCTTTTGGAGGAGCCATACTCCAACCTTGCTGGTGCATTACGACATTTTCACGAGATGACGAATCTGGTATAGTGAGCAAAGCTTTGGTTGCCTCGATGAAGGCGACGTCGACCGGTGTGGCGCTGTTTATTTCCGTTCCTAAGTCTCCGCGGGTATGTGTGGCTATGACTGTCATGGGCACACTGTCGAGGAAGACAGGGCCTCCAGAGTTACCTATGCCATTTTGTCAGCATCCTTGGCTTATGGTCGTGGTCTTGAGTGGGCATAATTACCATGCGTAGTCGAAAGCCTGTACTCCAACATTTTGTCGCCATTGAGCTTAGCTCGTCCTGCTACTTCATACATACAACCAGCTGGCCTGCAGCGTAGGGTGGAGCCGCGGGCTTGCTTTGTATTTTCGCCGGGATAACCAACCACGAGCACATCTGGTCTGGTCGAAGGTGGCGCTCGATACAAGGCTGGCTCGACCTGCGTGAACCTACTCTCGAGCTTTATTAGTGCCATGTCGTTGCGCGAGGCGGAAACAGGGCGTGCCCATTTTTGGAGCACTATGGCTTTTCTGCCGAAACGCATTTGATCCCCGGTTTCTTTGAAATATGAGCATTGACGATGGTATCCTGTGTAAGCTTTGACGGCTGTAGCGCGGAAGACATGGTCTCCAATATAATGAAGAACGTTGTGTGCTGATGTCAGGACCAGGTCAGGTTCAATGAGTACACCAGAAGCATGGAACTCGTAGTGTGCGCCATCTTTTATCTTAAGCTTGACAACGCCTACACCAACCTATTAGCGATATTCACAATTGGACAGCTATAGTCTCTTACATCGGTATTTCCCCTTCGCGTCTTTGTAATGGGCCTCGTCCACGTGATTTCGAAGATTTCCCTTCACTAATACCTCATATAGTGGACCCTTCGAGGGCCACGTGGTGGTGAGCCTCCAGATCTTTAACTCCTTCGAGTCCACAGGCATGTTTTCATCTTTGTTCGTTGTTGAGCCTCCACTATCGACGATGGTGGCCGTTGCGCTCGAGTGCGATACGGGGCGAGACCTTCGTGTACGGGAGGAGCGAGTACTATAGTGTATGACGTTAGTCGAGGAAGGCCCAGAACATAGCAAAAGAAGGGAGAGTATGCGCGAGGCCTACGTGATACAAGTGCTTTCTACCATCATTCGGAGGTATGATTTGGTGTCAACGGGTCGGGTAGTCAATGTAGTCCTGGGTAGTTGCGAAACCTGACGAGAACACCGAACGTGCAACGAGGCCGTCAGTCCCTTATCTTCCAAAGAAGGACCTACCTCAGGCGATAGACTGAACAGACATTGCAAAGCATATCCCTGCTGAGTGTAACTTCTTTCGGTTTCTCAATGCAAAGAATTGTAACTGTATGGTACGTCGATTCACCGGTTTGACTGTCCGCCCAATACCTTACATTGCCACATGGTCCATTAAAGCATGACCTACGTCAGCCGGCGCTTGGGCTGTGGCTTTTCGCATGGGGGCTGGCTCAGTCCCAGACCTCCCATTCGTTGTATGCAGTCATGCTGCAGGCTGGTCAGCTGGCAAACCTTGGATATGAGAACGTATTTGACCCCTGACGCGAGTGCCTGTGGCGAGAATTAAAGATTCAGTAGAAAGTAAACTGGTGAAGAACTGGACAGGAATGAGATTGTACACCTGGTCACTCGTCATCGGAGTTCTTGCCTCTTGTGACACATTGAACGCAAATGCCGAGCGGGCAACAAAAAGCATTCGATGCTGCGTTTCAATGCGCAAGCCGTACATTGGAGTCGTGTTGACAGCATTGCCCCTTGCAAATAGTGCTGGACTGGTATCTTACAGTAGTCTACAGTTGCTTGCCGTTATATATATACATATCGTGTACATGGTGTGCTACCTCGATTCGTGATAGATCGTCTGCGGCTCCGTCGTATCAACAACGGACGCATAGCGGGATTTGTCGCCACCCGTGATGCTACTAGCGCTTCTGTAATCTCAGCGAGCTCGTAGTTGTAAGCTAGGCGTGGTTTTTTCAAAACGCTTTGGGGTATTGACCTTAAGCGTATGCGAGCGGCCTTATTCTTCAGGAATGATTCGGTCCACAGCTACATTTGGTTAGATTTCACCTCAGGACTGTGACCAGATAGACATACCTTTGCCGTTCTCGAGCAAGTACCCCGAGCAGTCGATCTTCCACTCATCACCCCTCACCTTGACTTTCGCGATGCCAAACCTCAGCACGGCGAATTTGAACTTCAGAAAGAAGTTAGTCCACTTCTGATGTACCCAGCGCGCCGACCCCTCCCATACACGCGCCGCGATGTTCATATGTCCCAAGTCATCCCAAAGCTTCTGGCGCTTGAATCGTTCTGCCTCGAGCAGCTCAGCTACCATGGGCTCCGTCTTTTCACTTATTGTCGCTTTGCCCAAATCCGTGTATATGACGCGCTCTTTCAGCCACGGCACCGGCTTGACTACCATGCGCAATTGCATGGGCCCGCCCTGCAGACTGGGAAGGATTTCCAGTGCGCGCATGCGGTTGCTGGGCGCGGTACAGATGTAGCAGCCGATGATGATGAAGCCCACTCCTACCACGATGTAGGTTGGACGGACGAAGAAGGACAGTCCATTGTCTTTGATGTCGTCATTGAACTTGATCGAGAAGGCACCGACACCGATCCATAATGCTCCCGTTCCGTACACCTTCAGATAGTACCACTTGTTCTTGGGCGCTTGGTAGAGGAGGACTGGCTGGCGGGTTTGGACGACTTGGCGGAGGACGGGGTCGCTGCTCACGAATGAGCTGGGTTTTGGTGCGACTACATTGCTCTTGGGGTATTGGTAGCGTCGGAACACGGAGGATGTGAAGGAGCGGTTCTGCCGTATCGTCCGTATCGTGGTGGGTGTGAAGAATGATTCCCGTGTTCCGAAGAGGGCGGCGCGGAGGGATGAGGGGAGGCGGAGGGTGTGTTGGCGCAGGAAGGCGTCGAAGCCCCGGGAGAAGGCGGGCATTGTGAGTGCAGTGATATGGAGTTTTAATGCAGCGCTATGCACCGAGCATACTCCAGCAAGTCAATGCGGCAGTATGTGGGCGTGGATACCTGGATGCCGTCGCGATATGTCGGAAAAAGTAGAAGCGGCCCAAGCGCGTCCCGCTCGACACCTCCGAAGCTTGTTCCGCCCAACATTTCGGCCAGCAGATCAGCACCGTCGCCAAACACCCTCCTGCTCCCACTGCCATTGACTCCGTCCGTCAATTGACCTCCCCATGGCTTCGCTCGCTGCGGTATGTAGGGTCTCGGCGCGGGCTGCCTCGCAGCAGTTGCGCAACCAAGGTGCTCGGAGAGGTATGCACTCAAGCCAGGCTTCGCTCGCTGCGCAAAGCTTCAACATGCCTGCGCTTTCACCCACCATGACCGAGGGCAACATTGCGAGCTGGAAGATCAAGGAGGGAGACTCTTTCTCCGCCGGCGACGTGCTGCTTGAGATTGAGACGGACAAGGCGCAGATGGACGTCGAAGCGC